TTATTATTATTATTTGTGGGATGAGCAGTAGAACTGAGTGTGTGGGTTGCACACATGAAAAAAAAAACATTGTCAAATCTTCTCTGCCAAACAGCTTATTTTGCTGTTATCGACACTTGTTTTGAGCTTCTGGTACCTCCAGCTGCTGCTATAAGATTTATTGCCAAGAAGCATTGTTACAACAAAGAAATAATCTACAAAACATCAGTTTCCTTACTTCTTGTGCTAAGTAGTTTAAAAATTTAGCAAACCACTGCATAGAGCTGCAAGCAGTAACATGCACAGTTTAAGAACCTCTGATCATGATCAAAACAACTATAGTTTTTTAAAAATTGACTACGTACATGAGACAGAGTTTTAGTTTGACTGCATGTCAGATTTTAGCTAGGATTTTGGAGAGAGTTTACACCACATACGCTGTGTTGTGTCTCGTGGTCTTGCACCCCCCAAAATTTGTAACTTGCTGCTCACTTTGTTCAAAGCGTCAAGTAGAAACGCCTACACCGGTGGCTCAGGTTCGCGTGCCGTTAGCAGAGTCCTGCACGACACACACGAGCGATTAAAACCGAGTCTTTAGGCGTCTTCTGAAAGAGCCTAATTCACTGGTTTTAGGATGTTGTTACTCAGAAATGGGGTGTCGCAAAACGGAAGAGGGCATCGAAACGATGCCTCAACGCTCCTTTAGCTGAAATTCTGTTGCGTGTGCCATCAAGCTGAACAAAATGTTAAGTACAGGAGATTTGGATAGTAAAGATATGTAAACACTTTTTTTTTAGACAACCTCAGAATAAACTAGAGTTGGAGGAGAATTTAGAGCAATTTCATTTAACCCACTGGGAGATTTTTGCAGACTTAAAGAGCTGAAAGCTCAACCTGCAGCACAGCTTCATCTTTGCGTTTAGATATTTATTTTATTACATTGTTTCTGACTGTTCTGACTGTCCTTGTAAACAAGCTTATTTTAGGGAGACAGAGTTGTGCAAACAGCTAAGTTGGACTTATATCTTCCTCCTGGTGGTGGAGGAGTTTTAATTGTGCCTCTGTTGTTTTGGGATTCCTCAGCTGGTAACGGTGCTGCCAGTGTCAGAACCTCCAATGTGGAAAAATGGGAACAAAAATGACCTTTCAGTTTGAGTTTTGTCGGTTCTTTTGTGTTTGCAGGTGGAAAGTGGCCAAATGCTTTAAAATAAATCAGGATTCATCGGAGCCCCCGTCAGTTCTTTTTGACAAAGCAAACAACGGAACATTTAAATCGTCATTTCACCGCCGATGGGCTCAAAATTTCCTGCCTTTCTTCTGTAGCTCCTCAGCTGACACTGGCAGTAAACGTATTGTTTTTATTAGCAATGCTGCGCCAGTTGTCTGGCTGAAAAACCCCTCTTTTGTAGAAAAATGCAAAAATAAGCAGAGTCTCGGTGAAAAACAAAACAAAATAAAACAAAAAAGGGATCTGCGTGACTTTTCCATGATCCGGAAAAAAACATTTGAGTCTAAAAGTGCATCTGGAGACAGTTTATTTTTATTGCAGACGGCAACAAATTAAAACAGATTGTGGATGGTGTTGCCTTAAGGTTTGAGCTGTTAAAAGGTGGTTATTAGGTGTTTAAAAAAAAGGATGTATTTAAAACCCAAATCAGCAGGATCTGGAGTAATAAAACCACGAAGGAGTGATTTATGTGCAGAAATATGGGACATTTCCTCTATCTTGGACCATGTGATGACACAGCTTCTCGATTTATTTTCAATTTATGTCTGTTCTTCTGCAGTTGTTTGTCTTTTTTTTTTTTTTTTTTTT